ACTTATTTTCTTTTAACCTAATAGGACAGTTCTTTCAAACTATGAGTTCAATTTGTCAGATAAAAATGTTTTCCAGAAGTATCAGTTGTGGTCTTCAGTATGTAGTACTCTGTGTGTCTGTGTCAACAATCCTCAAAATGGTAATTATCTCATCTATTTAGATATAAAGATAAAAACCCAAGTGAAAACTGATATTTTCCAAATGTCAAATTTAAAATGATGGACTTTATCTTCTTTCAGATGAGAATCAGATGTTTTGCTGTTCACTTTTTCCACATGCTAATGAGTGGCTAATAAACTGCATGAAACCTGAGATAATTCGCCCTATTTGCTTATTTATTGGACTTACTCTTGCAAATAACAGTAAGTACTTATTTGCTAGGAGATGATAATTGAAGAAATATATTTTAAAGGGAAAAGTATTTAATTAATTGAATTAATTAGTTAATTTTATTGTAGTATTTTGGTCATTTGGGATGCATTTAGACTTTTGAAGATAAACTTTTAAGAATAAGTATTAGTGGGCAAATGTTGGGAAGGTAGTGTCAGGAACATAGTTTTTTTTATTTTCCCACAAAGCCTCATAAAACAGAGCAACTAGATAGCAAAACTAAAAATTCACAGATGGGCTCTGGATTTGGCTCAGTGGTTCTGGCTGCCTGCCTTGCAACTGCAAGGGCCTGAGTTCGATTCCCTGGTACCATAAGTAAATAAAAATCTCACAGAGTCTGTACTCTAACCACAGTGGGATTAATTTAGAAATAAGTAAAAATAAAACATCTATAATTCCCCAAATATCTGATAATTAAGGGCCCAAATTAGCAATGTCTTGTAAGCTGTGTATCACCACAGATCTTAACAGGTACTAAAAAGATAATAAAGAAATAGTAGAAACAACTTTATTCTACAAAATTTAACAATTTACATGAATTGTACAAATTCTTTGAATACAAACTACCAAAGCTCACTCAAATGATATTCAAGTTATATGTATATGTATTAAAGAAACAGAAATTGTATCTTAACACACAGAGAATTATAGGCCCTACTGATTTTTACTGGTGAATTCTACCAAAAGTCTCAGGGAAAAAAAGAGAAATAGAAGAAACACTTCCCAATACATTCTATAATGCATTCTGTGTCACACCCATGCCAAATCCCAAAAAAGACATTGTAAGAAAACTGCAGGCAATTATCTTTTTATGGACATAGACATAAAAATTTTTAATGAAATATGAGCTTGGGGTGTATAGAAAGTTCAAGCCTGGGCTATGTGTAAGACCCTGTCTCAACAAAAGTAAAAATAATAAAGTATGCTTAACAAGTATTAATAAATTGAGTCCAGCAACATAGAGAAAGGATAATACATTATGACCAAGTAACATCTATCCCAAGAGTACAAGACTGGTTAAAAATTAGAAAAGTCACCAGATTCATAGACTAGAAAAAAAGAACTATGTGATGATCTTAATAAATGCAGGGAAAGTATTTGCATAATTCAAAATACATTTATGATAAGAACTCTTACTAAGGAATAGAAGGGAACTTCTATAACATGATAAAGGACCTCTACATAATACTATATAGCTCACATAATTTATTATAAAGGACTTAGTCCTTTCACATAAAACTGAAAAAAAGGAAGGCTGCCCCCACTACTTTATTTTAATATTTTACAAATGTCCTCACCGGTATAATAAAACAAGAAAATGAAATGAAAGGCATAGAAATTGAACAGAAAGAAGAAATAATCATTTTTTCATATGGTATGAATATATGTAGAAAATTAAAGGTACTGGAACTAGTGACTTTCAGGAAGGTTGCAGGATATAAGGTTATATACAAAATCAGTTATTTCCCTATACTGCAACAAATAGGAAGAAAGAAATGATCCTTTATAATAAAATCTAAGAGGTCAATACCTAGGGAATAAATTTAATAAAATATATGCAATACCTGTGCTATAGTTTTTGTGTCCTCCAAGGGTTCATTGAAGGCTTGGTCCTCAGGATGTATGGCACTATTCAGAGGTAGTAGAACTTCTAGCAAGTGGAGTCTAGTAGAAGAAAGCTAGGTCTTCGGAGGTTTGCCTTTGAAGTGGATATTGAGACCTAGTCCCCTTCCTTCCTTTCTCTCTCTTTATGCCTCCCAGCTGTCACAAGGAGAGCAGTTTACTCTGACATACATCTCCATGATGTTTTGCTTTGCTACAAGCCCCAAAGCAACGGAGCCAACTGATCGTGAACTGAAATTTCTGAAGCTGTGAGCCAAAATATCAGCCTTTCCTCTAGAAGTTGTTTATCTCAAGTGTTTTGTTACAATGAATGGTGCAGTTGTGTGTATTCTGAAAAACCACAAAATATTGGGAAATAATGCTCATGGATTTTTAAGACTCAGTATTATAAGAATGTCACTTCTCAAATTCATCTTTAGATTCCTGACATTCTCAATCAGAATCGCAGCAGGCTTTTCTGATGGGCTGATTCTAAAAGTTACGTGGAAATTCAATGAGCAGAAAATAATGAAAACTGTTTTTGAAAAAGGACAAAGTTATAGGACTTCTATTACCCAATTTCAATATTTATTATACAACAATCATGAAAATGTGGCTTTGGTATAGATATATACATTTAGATTAAAAAAAAAATTTTTAGCCCAGAAATAGGCCCACAGATACAGTATAGGGTCATTGATTTTTATAAGGGTACTGTCAACTTAAAGGAGGAAAGGTTTTTTGGATGCATAGTTTCAGAGGCTTCTGTCCAGGTCACCTGGCCCCTTTGTTTCTAGGCCTGTGGTGAGGCATGGCATCATGGCAGGAAGCACATGGTAGAGCACAACTGCTTACCTCATCATATCTAGGAAGCAAGAAGAGCAAGAGAACTTGTTTTTATAAGTCCTTCCCCTCAAACCCATGGAGCTATGAATCCCTGAATAGATTCATCCATTCATGAAGTCAGAGCCCTCATGATCCAGTCACCTTCCAAAGGCCTTATCCCTGAAAACTGCTACAGTGGGAACCCAGCTTTCAACACATGAACTTTTGGGGTATGTTTAAGATCCAAATCATAACATGTGTCATAAGCATTCTGCGGGGGGAGAGATGGTATTTTCAATTAATGGGATAGGAAAAAATGAATATCTATATGCAAAACATTAATTTTAACCCCTATCTCACACAATATACAAAAAATTATTTTAAATTATCTATAGGCCTAAATATAAGAGTAAGAAATATAAAACTAGACAAAAACATAGGAGAAAATCCTCACAACTTGAGGGTTGATAAATATTTCTTAGATGCAAAAAGTATGATAAATGAACTTCACTGAAATTAAAATCTTTTGATCTTCAAAAGGTATTTTTAAGATAAAAAGACAAGCTGTAAACTGGGAGAAAATATTATGAAATGTATCTGAGTTTAAAAACCCTTGAACACAGAATATGTAAAGAATCAATTGTAAGAGGGCCAGGGATTTAGCTCAGTGGTACAGCACCTGCCTGGCAAGTGCAAGGTCCTGAGCTCAATTTCTGGTACCTCCCCCAAAAAGAATCAATTATAAGATAAAAACAACCTAATGATTAAAAGGTAGACAGTGGGCTGGGGGTATAGCTCAATGACAGAGCCCTTCACTTAACAATTTAAAAATGTGCAATGGGCTGAGGATATAACTCAGTGAAAGAGCCTTTGCTTATCATACACAAAAAGCCATTGGTTTGATCCTCAGCACTACAAAATAAAATATAAATGGGAAAAATATTTGGATAGATACTTTGCAAAAAAATGTGACTATAAATAAGCAGTTGAAAAGATGCTTAAGATTGTTGTCATCTGGGTCAGGGATTTAGCTCAGTGGTTCTGCTGCCTGTCTTGCAAGCACAAGGTCCTGAGTTCAATCTCTGGTACCAAAAAATAAAGATTGTTGTCATCAGAGAAATCTAAACTAAAACCCCCCCTCAGATACCACAACCCACCTGCTAGCATGGATAAAAGTAAAAAAGACTGGTAATGTTAAATGAGGTAAAGATGTGAAGCAATTTTAACTTTTATACATTGCGGATGTATGTCAATAATCAGGTATTTAAAACAAATACTCATGTTTCACATACAAAATAATACCTCTAGAGTTCTAATAATTGGAATCTATTTCCATGATACCTTGACATTTCCTGTTTCTCTAAATGACAGCTCATTTGGATGATAGAGGATTTCATTATTCTGAGAAAGCCCAGTATGAAATATGTTAGAGGAAATCTGAAATATTCAATATACAACCAGTATGAACTAGAATGTTTTGCTTGTAAGTCTGAAGTTTTATTGCTTAGTCTATAACCAAGAATCTTAATGCTAACATAGGGCAATTTTCATCTTGGCATTTAAAAATACATACTGTTAGTGTGCTGGAATTATAGCTCAGTGATAAAGCCCTTGTTCAGCATGCACAGAATTGAGTTTTAAACAAACTTTAAAAAAATTTTTTTAATTAAAAATAAATTTTAGTGAAGAAGCTGTTTTGGAGGTTCTACAATTTTGAAAAAGTTTGCTTATCCTTAAATAATGTTTCTTTATAGTATCTCAGATGTATAAAATTCTTGGTGTGACATATTTAGATTATTAATATATTTGTTTTATTGAGCGATAAAAAAATTAATCCTTGCCTTTTTTTGTGGTCTTGGGAATGAACCCAGGCATGCTCTACCAGTGAGCTACTTTCCCAGACTTTATTTTTTAGCCTCTTGCTAAATTGCCCAAACTGGCACCAAACTTTCAGCCCTCCTGCCTTAGTTTTCCTAGTAGCTGAGATTATAGATGTGTAGAATTATGCCTGGCTGAATTTTGCTTTTAAATCATGTTGGGTTTAATTTATAGAACTAGGCTACACCTAGAAAAAAGATTTGTGGCAGAATTATAACTGCTATCTGTTATATCCTATTTGTAGGATGGGGCTGTGAAGACTGCTGAACCATAGACCCATGGGATATTTTCCCATTAGAATCATTTTCAATAGGAGAACAAAAGGCTTTAGACTTAAAAAATATGTATCTGTCACTGGATCTTTTCTTGAAATATTGCTCGATAATAGGCTCCAAAAGTTAAAAAAAAAATAGATGTAAATAAGAAGGAGATATGTGGTTTTGGAACAGTTAAATAATTTTCCCTTTTGTAGATTTATGTACAAAGGAATGAGTTATGTTGGAATTCAGAAAATAAGCAGTTTGCTAATTTTAATACCAACCAACCAGGCATGGTGGCACACACTTACATTCCCAGCCCTAGGGTGGCTGAAGTAGGAGGACTGCTGCGAGTTTGAGGCCAGCCTGGGCTACATAGTGAATTCAAGGCCAGCCTGAACTGCATAGCAAGACTGTCTCAAAAAGACAAAACAAAAGAAAAACCAACCTACATGAATTAATCTATTACTTATAGTTCTATTGACTTAATGTTGAAGGATAGTTTAATAATAATATTCTTACAAAATAACAGCCGTCCTCGTTAAATGAAGAAAGATTTCTTCTACACAAAAAGCAGTATTGTAATATTATACATGTAGTTATATTGTCAAAGGGAAGTGCTTAAATACTTTTCTATATGGTTATGTATATGCACAAATAAAATTAGATTTTTAAAACTTATTTAATTTTTGGACTTGTATTTTAAAAAGTCAAGTTAATGGTATATTTGGTGCACATTAATTGAATGAAATAATATACTAGCCTTATTTGAGATATTAATAGTTCATCTGTTTTATTCCCTAAGCATATGTTCAGAAATACTTTGTATCTGTGGGTGGATTGGATATATTGTCTCAAGTGCTTGTACAACTGGAATCTGATTCACACGAGACTCCTTCCTATGCTAAGCTTGCAGTCGTAGTAGCAAAGACAATGGATGCATGTATTGCTGATAATCGTGAGTGAAAAATGCTTATAAGTTTTCTAAAATTGAATTTTATTTGAGTTCAGCATGGTGAGTGTTTAAATGGTAGATTAAAAACTAATACAGATTAGACAGCTTCTCAACAAATGGAAAGGAATCTTAGAAATTATCTAGTCCAATTCTTTTTTTCCCATGGAAGTTATACCTTCATATCTAGGCCTTCTAACTCCAAATCTAATGATAATCTGTAAATCTTTACAATAAAAGACTTCATTGGCAACTACAAATAACTGAGAAAGTATGTTAAAAAAAAACAGTGAGTATTTGTTATATGCTGAGCTCCAGAAATAGAAAATTTATTAAAAAACAGTCCTTTGCCCAGGCATGGTGGCTCACACCTGCAATCCCAGCACACGGGAGGCTGAGGCAGGAGGATCGCTATGAGTTCGAAACCAGCCTGGACTACATAGTGAGTTCCAGGTCAGTCTCAACTACATAGTGAGACCCTGTTTCAAAAAACAAAAACAACAATAACAAAAAAAGACATTCCCTTGAGGAAATCACAACCTTTTCCTTGGCATCACTATTGTTAGACTCTGGGTGAACTCTAGTAAAAGCCCATGAGAAAAAGTATGGTTTAAAATAATGGAATTCTTGAAATTTATCACCTCTCACCATAGGTTCAGTTACATTGCGTTGCATCATTAACATCAGTAGAACCATGGTCAGCTAAGAGAATATTTCAGTATTAGGCAAAATTTGATCATGTAGGTATGTCTTTACTACCAGTGTCCAATGTGGATAAGAAGAGATGTGTAAGATAAGAATGGACATACTCAGTTTTGGGGAAGATAGTATTACTTTACAGTTACAACATTATGCAGAACAACTAAAAAGAAGCCAAAAAGTTTGCTTTAGAAGGATCAGTGAGGACCATTATAGTAAGCCATCTTATTACAGTGAGTTCATATTGACACATGTGAACTCATGTATATTAGATGCTGTATTTGTATAATAGTGTATATATATTTATATATAAAATCCTTCTGGATTAGCTCTGAAAAACATATATGTATATTTATAAATTTTAAGTTTATACTTACTGTTTTTTTCTATTTTATACTAATAGCTATTTTTGGGGTAGTATTATCCAAGCACTGCATTGTTTCAAAACTTCTGGCATTGCTACCTCATGAAAGTCTGGATTCAGGAGAAAAATTTAGCATCATCCTTGCTCTTGGTCATTGCACAGAGGATTGTGGTTAAGTATTGAATTTATGTAGTGTGCTTATTAGAACAGTAGTGAAAATATATGGGTTTTTTTCCCCTTCTAATAATATAAAAAGCTTAAAGCATTTCTTTCTCCCAGTCATTTAGACCCTAAACTAGTTATTTTAGTTCATCATCCTTCTCCACCTATTGTATTCAGTTAGTCATTAAGGTCTATAATTCTACTTCTCTTGCCCCTTTCTTATCTCTTTCTGTCCTTTGCTAATATTACTGTCTTCATTCAGACCCTTAACCCCTTAGCATCTTTCATCAAGATTACTGCATATACTGCAAAAGCAACCTTCCTCTGCTCCTTTCCTTCCTTTTTGTTTTTGTTTTTGTTTTTTGAGGCAGGGTCTCACTCTGTAGCTTAGGCTGCCCTTGAACATACTGTGTAGCCCAGACTGGTCTCAAACTTGGGACTATCCTCCTGCTTCAGCCTCTTGAATGCTGGGATTATAGGCATGCACCACCATGCCCAGTGCTCCTTTCTTTATTTCTCCTAGTTTTAGTCTGCTCTTCATATTGCTACACAAATCTGATCCTGTTATCCCTTGATTAAAAACCTCAAATTTTTCTTTCTTTTGCTAGCTGTTACTTTCCCCTCTCTATTCTTTCTCCTCCTCTTTTTTATTTTCCTTCTTCTCTCTACTTCCCAATCTCCACTTTTCTCTGACTGTCCCCCAGACTCCTCCTTCCTCTCTTGCCTTCTTACTTTTCCACTCTTTTCCCATTAATGCCTTTACTTCTGCTTTTTTACTGCCCTTTTTCTTTTTCTATCAGTTCTCTGTTCTTTCTCTTAACCTCTGTATTATGTAAGATCAACCCCCTCCCTCTTTTAAATTTTCTATTTAACAGCATGGTCTCACAAAGTTGCTTAGTTGCCCAGGCCTGGTTTGATTTGTGATCCTCTTGCCTCAGCCTCTCAGTGTGCTGGGATTATAGGTGTGTGCCACCACACCTGGTTGCTCTACCTTTTTTCAAACCAAGTAAGGGCAGTTTGTTTACTCATCATCAGGTATGATACTACTCCAGCTACATCTCAGAAATCATCACTTATTTTGTATAAGGAGATTATTTCATAAATTGAAAATACTTTCAAAATTACATTTTCTTCTATCTTTAAAAAATGTGAGCTATGTTTATGATTATCCCAAGGAAGAATTATGGCTTTATTCATATAATTTATGATAAAAATAATTGTCTTCTATTTTAATTTATCATGTTTTCCAGAGGAAAATCAGTATGATCTTTTAAAAAACAATGGACTTCCACTCATGATACAAATTTTAACTGAATCTCAGAATGAGGAACTAAACAAAGCTGCTACTTTTGTGCTTTATAACTGCAAAAAGATTAGTAAGTTTACTGTTATATAAGAGAATATTGGGCTTGGGATTTAGCTCAGTGGTACCGCTCCTGCTTCACAAGAGCAAGGTTCTGAGTTCCATTCCTGGTACAGGAAGGAAGGAAGGGAGAGAGGGAGGGAGGAAGGAAAGGAGGGAAGGATGGAGGGAGAGGGAGAGGAAGTATCAACTAAGGTTTATAAATAGAATTTATATCTGCTGTAATGAACCATACCCTTTTAGCCTCCAGGTGATTTTTTTTTGGGGGGGGGGTTGAGACAGGGTCTTACTGTGTAGTTGAGACTGACCTGGAACTCACTATGTAGCCCCCCAGGCTGGTCTCGAACTCACAGTGATTCTCCTGCCTCAGCCTCCTGAGTGCTGGGATTACAGGCGTGTGCCACCATGCCTGGCTCCTCCAAGTGATTCTTATACTTGAAAAGCAGAGTATATAATTGGATATAAAATGTAGGGTACTTTCAGCATATACAGACCTGTCTAGAAGAGAGCAACAGTAGAGACAGTTCACTTATTTTATGTCACATGAGAAAATTTAGTTTGTAGGACATAAGAACTGAGAGTGATTTATTACTAAATCATAATATATGATATTCTTTTATTTATTTAAAATATGCTAAAATATCTGTTATGTGTTAGGCACCGTGCTGGGAATGGGGATACAGTGATAAGAAAAACATAGTATATATATTTAGAGCTTAGTTTAACTACATAAGACAGCAATATATAATCTTAAAAATTAGTCTATATATTATTATAAATTGATTTGAGGGAAGCCAGGCATGCTAGGGCACACCTGTAATCCCAGCATTTGGGAGGCTGAGTTAGGAGAATCACAAATTTGAAGCCACCCTGAAATACATAGTGAGTTCAAGGCTGACTTGGACCACATAGTGAGACCCTGTCTCAAAAAACCAAAACAAGAAGAAGATAGAAAGGTTATGAAGAGATGGACCTTATAACAAAGGAATCAGACCTAGACTTAAAATAGAAGCTCTTTGAAAGTGATTCTTGAGCTGAGATTTGAACGACTAGAGGTAACCAGGCAGAAAGAAGGGAACCAATTATGGTTGAGTTCTTGGGCCTGAAGAACAGTGAGGGTCAAAGGTTCTGTGGTAGGAGGGAGCCTGATGAATTCAAAGAATTGATGACTAGTGTGGCGGGAGCAGAAGGCAGTGGCCATTAGGAGGATTGTTGTCTTTGTGGAAGAAAAAATATGGGCATAATATATATGTTTTTAATATTTAAGAGATATAAGAAAGAACCACTTCATGAATACTGTTTTTAAAAATAACTGCTTTGGAGCTGCAGGTGTTCTTTAGTGATAGAACACACGCTTCCATGTGTGAGACCTTGGGTTTACTATGCTGCACTAAAAACAACAACAAAAAATACATTATGCCAATATCCATATCCTGAGGATATTTGTGTGTCTGGAATAACATTTTCATGTTGTTCTTTTTTCTCGTAAATCTGCAAAGACTAATTGATGACTTTTTGAGTCTTGGTCCTGTGCTAAGTATTAATTCCATTATTTTTGTACCAGTTAAAATAGCTTAGATGAACGAAATGTAGACAAGGGGTGAGATGGGGCATGAGGTTGTTCTTAAAATGTAACATTTCTAGTAATGTATAAACCCATCTTTTCCCCTCCGTATTACAAAGCTGAGAAATTATCTCTAAGTCTAGGAGAGTATTCTTTTGATGAAAATGAAGCAGAACAATTACAGGACATAAATGTAAAACAAAATAAGCTTGAAGAGCACTGGAAAACAGCAAAGGAAATCCTGCACAAAATAGATCTGCTTGAAAGAGAAGAAAATAAGGTTGGTTTCTTTCAAAGAATACAAAATTTTTTTCAAATATTTTTAACATTAGAGGTTAAGTGTGAAAACTTTTTCCTCTTCCCAAGTTATTTTTTAAAAATTCATATGTTTTTAAATATAAATTTTAATAGTAATAGTTGAGAAAATATCTGTGGATATAGAGCAAAAAATATTTTTAAAGCAGATATGATGGGATATAAAAGACACATGAGATCTAGCCTCTGAATAATAGGAGTTCAAGATGGAGAACAAATAATCTAGTAATCTTTCTTGCACTATGTACCCAACCCTAAATATACATACACAACACATGCACACCACACACTCCCAATAAGTACTTGTGGACACAGTCATATGTCACTTGACAGATATACATCCTAAGAAATGCATCACAAGACAATTTCATCATTGTGCAAACATCAGTTGTCATTATACTAATTCAGTTACTTGATTTGGCCTCTTGATGCAATCAAGACACATAGTAGAGCCAGTTGTGCTGGCACAAGCCTATAATACCAGCACTCTGGAAGGTTGATGGCAGGAACATTGCAAGTTAGAGCCCAGCCTGAGTAACATAGTAAGACCCTGTCAAAATAAAAAATTTAGGGGCCAGGGATTCAGCTCAGCGGTTTGGTGGCCTGCCTTGCAAGTGCAAGGACCCGAGTTCAATCCCCGGTACCAAGAAATTTTTTAAAATAAATAAATAAATAAATAATTTAAAAAGGGATGGAGTTATAGTTCAGTGCAAAGTCCCTGGATTCGATGACCAGTACTGAAGAAAAAGAAAAAAAAAAGATGCAGTAAACTTTCGATGTGTGAGGATGCTAATTTAAAACAACATACTATTTTATAGTAAACTTGGTTTTGTTAATGAGTAGAAGGAATGTATTCTAAAATAATCAAAAGTAAATGTAAAAGTAAATATGTAAACCAGTAATAAAGTCATTTATTATCACTTTTTCTGTGGGGGATACTGGGGACCAAGCTCAGGACCTTGTGCTTACAAGACAGGCATGCTGCCACTAAGCTAAATACCCAGCTGTTTATTATCATTATCAGGTATTATGTACTGTACATAATTGTACCTGGTATACTTTTATATAGCTAGCATTGCAGTAGGTTTGTTTATGGTGTCATCCTTGCAAATGCATGAGTAATAGATTGTGTTACAATGGCATGACAGGTACAGTGTTATAGGTAATAATAATATTTCAACTCTGTTATAATTTTATGGGATCACTGTCATATATAGTCTGTTGTTGACTGAAACATCGTTGTGTGACTCATGACTGTATATATACATTAATATTTTTTCTATGTTTGTACACTTTGTGTCTTGTATGTTCATGTAGAATAGTGATTGCCAGAAGCTGGGGCTAATGGTTGCATAACATTGTGAATGTCCTTAATCCCACCAAACTGTACATTTAGGGGTAGGGTTAGTAGTTCAGTCAGTTCACTTAGCATAATGTTTTCAATGTTCATCCATGTTGTATATAGTATGTATGAGAACATCATTTCTTTTTTTTTAATTTGGTAAAACATATAAAATTGATCGTTTTAACCATGTCTAAATGTATAATTCAGAGGCATTTTATATATATATTTATACTGTGTGTAATTCTCACCAGAACTTTTTTCATCATTGAAAATTGAAACTGTACCCGTTAAATAATAACTTCCTATTACCCCTTTCCCTTAGGTCTTGTTAACTACTTTTCCACTTTCTGTCTCTACAAATTTGATAGTTTAGATACTTTATATAAGTGGAAAGCATAACTTGCCCTTAATGCCTTCAAGGTTTATCCATGTTGTAGCAGGTATGCTGAGTTTTTCTGCACCAGCAGCTGATTCTCTGCCACTGCCAGATTTTTATCCAAGTCAGTTCTGAAATTGACTCCTGGAGTTAGCCCAGACCTCACAGGTCAGGGCACAGTCTTACAAGACTGCCCTAACTTTAGCCGTGTATATCAGCAGTCTTCTATACTTCTGACTAACTGGTATAAACTTGGGGGTTCCTATAACAGCTTCACAGGTTTGATAATTCATTAGTGTGACTCACAGAACTCAGGACAAAGCACATTTAACTATTTATTATATATGATAAAACTGAGAAAGAATCAAATGTTAGAGATGCACAGGGCAGAGTACAGTGGACAAAGACACAGCTTCCATGCCCTCTGTAGGCACTACCACCATCTCAGCACCTGATTGTTCATCAACCCTCACTGGAGGTTGGCAGTGGGGAGGGAAGCTGAAAGTTCCTACCCACTAATCATGTGTTTGGTCTTTCTGGTATTGAACCCCCATCCTGAAACTGTCTAAAGCAGTGGAGGCAAACCTATGGCAAGCATGCTATTGTGTTTTTCTTTTAAGTCAAAAGATGTTACCATTATTTTTTCTAAACTAAAACCTCAGTATTTAGGTTTAATAGCAGTGTGGGCACTTTGTGATAAATAAGTGGATTTTAGGTTGCAGTTTGGCCTCGGTTTCTGAAATGTTCACCATCCCTGGTTTAGAGGTTCCAGCTTGAGTCTTCTCTTAGCATAAGTACAGATGTAGTTACAAGGGGTTTGATAGGAGCAACAAAGGAAACTTCTTTCACCAAGGACCTTCTGAGGGTTTTAGGTTTTTAGGAGCTGTGTGCCAGGAACTGTGGCCAGAAACCAAATTTTGTTTGTTTTGTTTTGAGTCAGCATTTCACTGTGTTGTACAGGCTGGTCTTGAAATTGCAGGCTCAATTGATTCTCTGCCTCAGTTTTACAAATAACTGGGACTACAAGAACATGCCACTGCACCTGGCACCAATTATTATGCTACAGCATGTGTCAGAATTTCCTTCCAAGGTTTTTTCTTTGTTTGTTTTGATTTGGGTTTTTCCTTTTTTCTTTCTTAATCTCTAGCTTCATATTTCTGGTGATCTTTAGTTGTTGCTTATATTTAAGAGGGAGAATAAAAATTTCCTTAGAAATTGTTTTGATTTTTTTCATAGGTGAGTTTTTTTTTCATGTTATTTTTTGGAACTTTTGTCCAATCTCCTGTTTAGAAATGGTCAGTCAGTGTTCTGGAGTCAAAATGGGAATATGAGTATTCAAAATGCAAACATTGAGCCAGGGATTCAGCTCAGTGGTTCTAGCGACTGCCTCGCAAGCGCAAGGACCTGAGTTCCCCCGGTACCAAAATGCAAACATTTACTTGGTCTTTGTTTTTTGTTTGTTTGTTTGTTTGTTTGTTTTTGAGACAAGTTTTTACTATGTAGTCAAACTGGCCTTGAACTCACTATGTAGCCCAGGCTGGTTTAAATTTGCTGTGATCCTCTTGCCTCACCCTCCTGAGTGCTGGGATTAAAGTCCTACACCGCCACACCTGGCTTCAGTCTTTGTTTCCTGTAGAGCATTCTGCCATCTTTGCTTAGAGTTCTTCAAAGCAGAGACTGTGTTAGCCCATTCCAACCTTGGAAAGGAGGCAAAAGAGGGAGGGCCCTCTGATATCAGTTAACTAATGGCTAAATGTATGTTAGATGGAGATTGGGATCTAGTAACACAGCTGCTGCTTAAAAACTCTCTCCTAGTCTTGTTTTTACCTTCACCTTCACCCCTTCTACAGCAGTGATGGTGAACCTTTTAGAGACCGAGTGCAGAACTGCAGCTCAAAGCCCACTTATTTATCACAATATGCCAACAATGCAATTAAACCTAAATACTGAGGTTTTATTTTAGAAAAAACAACTCTATATTAATATCTGTTGTCTAAATGAAAAACACAATAATATGTGCCATAGGTAGCCACCACTATTCTGGAGTCTCTTGCTAACTCCAATTCTTAAGCCTTTTGAGGGTTTGACAATATATTTTAGATAGTTTCTTGGATTTCCCCACTGCTAGTTTTGGATCAGCATTACCACATCTGCTAACTAGGTTATATTTCACCTCTTTGCTTTCTAGTTTTGAAATTTTTGTTACCTGTATTTCATCTTCCATTGTTCCTTATTTAATAGGTTATATCCTTTTTAAAATGTGGTTTAATGGGTTTTATTGAGAGAAGCACAATCAAATATAGGCATTTAATTCATTTTTACCTAGAAAGTCACTTTTTACTTTTTGAAATATTCTGTTAGATGGATATGTTAGATATTTTTCTGATAAATGTTATTTCCAACTTTTAGCTGTTAAAATATTAGTAACATTCATTCTCTCACATTTTTTTCTTTTCCCTTTTAACTCTTCCCCTACCCATCCCACATGAAAATAAAGTGTTTGTAGATGGGGAGGGGAGGAGGGGGTGAAGAGAGGGCAGAGGTAAGGGGAAAAAATGAGAATCAAGACTTGTCATGTAGAGGTATAAGATCCCAACAATGAATGTAACTGTACTGTATCCCTAAAATGTACCAATAAACTCAAAGCTGAAAAAAATATTAGTAACATTAATATGGTGCACATTTAAAAGTAATCTATAGATTTTTTGCAGATGTGCAGTTGTCTATGAAAGTTATTGTCAAATGATTTCTTCATAGAGATTTTACCAATATATACACTCACCAGCACATTCATGAGTGTCTGTTTTCCCTTCACCCTATTTCTGCCAATGTGATATTTGAGGATATCTCTAAGTAGCTTTAATATTCATTTCTTTTATTACATGTGTGATGAAGGATTTTTTTCACATTTAAGAGATATTTGTGTTTCCTATCTTATGAACTATTCATTTGTTGCTCACTTTTCTGATATTACTCTTTTTAATTAGTGTTATTTAAAAATTGTCCTATAGCTGGAGATGTAGCTCAGTGGTGCCACGCCTGCCTGGCAAGCACAAGGTCCTGAGTTAGATCCCCAGTACAAAAAAAAAAATTGTCCTGTGGCCTTATTATTTGATCGCCATGGTTCTGCTTTTCTCCCTTTTTCCTTCTGAGTCTCTGTCTTGGTCTCTAAGAGAACTTTGGAAATTGTATGTTTCTGTATGTGCATATATATGTACACATGCACTAAGGATTGAATCTAGATCCCTGCACTGCTAGGAAAGACACTACTCCTGAGCTACATCTCTTTTAAAAATTTTTATTTTAAGACAGTCTTGCTAAATTGCCTAGACTGGCCTTGAACTTGTGATTCTCCTCCCTCAGTGTCTTGAGTAGCTAGGATTACAGGTGCATGCTCCAAACCCAGCTCAATAAAATTTTATGTGGTTAAGTACTTAATTTTCTTCTTTTATAATTTATTGATTTTATGTAATATTTAGAAAGGTTTTCTACTTCTTCGGAATATTAAAATATGCTTTCCTTTAGAACATACGTAATTTTTAAAAATTAAATATTTTGTTCACTTTGACCTTTTTTTTTTCATTTACCACATAGGTTTTTACCTTCTTTTTATGTAACTATGAGATGCCTAGATTATTTTCCCAAGTGGCTCTCTAATTGTCTCAACATTATTTATTGAATAAACTCCCTTTTTATTCCTAATGTAAACTGTCTTTTTTATCATGTATGTTCTCTTGATGGTCATAAGCTTTATACATTATTTTTAAAATATATGCTGGGCATGGTAGTGCATGCCTGTAATCCCAGCACTCAAGAGACTGAGGCAGGAGGATTGCCATTTGAGGCCATTTTGGGCTACATAGTGAGTTCAAGGCGAGCGTGAAGTACTTAGTAAAGGCCCATTTTAAAAAAAATGTAAAGTGGGTTATAATGAAATTAATTATATTGAAATAATTTGTCATTTTTATTTATAGGGAAATATACAAAGAGGAAAATATAAGAATATTTCATCCACAAAAATAAATATTCAAGATACACTGAAACATCTCCATGCAGATACTGATGGAGGTACCACAGCAGAAGATAAGGATAAAAACCAACCTAGAGAGCTCCAGAGCTTTAAGTACCCTGGAGTCTTTTCTAAAGCTTGTGCAAGTGATGACCAAAAAAAGACTCCGTTAAAGAATGCAAATCCAGTTAATGCATTCTATGCAGACAGAGGGCAAAATAAAGCTTTGAACAAAGCCACTTCAAGCTGCAATCAAAACCTATATGAAGAGACAACTTTTAACAAAAAGAATTTTGTTTCTCAGTCAAGGTGTAGTTTAATACTTGTATATTTATTTACTTAGCAAGCACTGTGTGTTACTGTGTGTGACACTGTTAAACGCTGAGGATATAAAATGCTAAAATATGGTTTTATGAGTAGTCTAAAGTGGGAAATATTGGCAAAAGAATTTGGATGAGTAAATATGGGCAAGTTCATCAAGGACCTTGCATGTCATAATCAAGATTTTTGGTTTTAACTTACAGGGTAAGGGGAGCCATTGAGGATTTTAAGTTGAATGACATAATCTGATTTGAATTTTAGAAAGAACACTATGAAAAAATGAAAACCTAAGTAAAGTCCTCTACCTGAAGTAACAGTGCAAGCATTGGCAATTAAATTTCCTAGGCTTGTTTTCAAACTTGGGATCCTCCTACCTCAGCTTCCCAAGAAGCTGGAATTATAAGCATATGCCACCATGCCTAGCCCCAGTTATCTTTACTTTTAGTAATTTGATGTCTGTTTTTTTTTTTTATTGCGTGTGTTATTTTGTTTTGTTTTTTAGTGACCATGCTTTTAAACATCCAACTCACATCGTCAAGAATACAAAACAGCAGTTACCAGAAACAGGTATGATTCAATATATTCTCTTTTTGTTTTTCAAGAAAGCAAGTATTTAGGGGCCAGGAATTTAGCTCAGTGGGACTGTGCCTGCCTAGTACAAGATACTGAGTTCAATCCCCAGTACTTGGGGGAAAAAAAAGAGTAGGTGATTGATATAGCTAAAAATGTACATTAATATATCTGCCCTCTAAAGAATAGGCCACACCTTTGACTCTTTCTGGTGTAAATGCCTCTAGCACTTTTTACTAATGTCCAGAATCTTTGTGTTTATCTACCAGGATGACCGAATGTGTAGTACTAAGCTAAAATTTGTTAAAAATCTTGAAACTTAATAAATTTTATAAATGTCAGGACTTTTTTCATCAAAATTCTTACATTTTACAATTTTTTTTTGCCAGATCCATTTATATTATGTTCGGACATAATAAATAAAGAAATTGTCAATTTTCAAGCAACTGACAACTGCTCCAAAATGTTAAATTATAGATGCTCAGGTAAATATTTTTTCATTACAATTGTTTCATAATTGAGGCTGCATATATTTACCTGGAATATGTTTAATTTTTATTTTTATTAGTACATGATTGCATCATGGGGAGTTGGTACATACACAGCATATCTTAATGCTTTTTACTGGAATTGACAGTAGTTCTGCTTTTGTGACTTAAACTTCATTTCCTTTAAGAAATGACAATCTGGAGCATGAAAGCATTAAATTAATACCTTCTGTCTGCATTATGTGGGGCTCCCAGCATTTGTTTACATAATACAGTTGACACCCATTTATCATTCTGTCATTGCCTTTTTGTCACAATGCCATCTATAGGATTAACTTTACTGAACAAAATAAACATTTTTTATGATTTTAGAGATCAAATAAGTAGATATATATTCTAGATTATGCTCCAAACATTATAGGCATTAAGTAATAGTACCTATTTTTATCTTTATAATAAATACATGTTCCTAGTCCTCCATGCTCTATAATCTTCTATAGTACTTATTTTTATAATGTTCTACAGTACTTATTCCATCCCTATTGTTCTTTCACACCCCAGTATATCTTCTTTGTTCAGGTTCACTGGGTTTTTTCTGGTTTTTTGAGACAGGGCCTCACTGTGTTGCCCAGGCTGGCCTTGAACTCACTATGTAGCCCAGGCTGGACTAGAGCATAATCCCCGTCTCAGCCTACTGAGTGCCAAGATTACAGGTACACATACCCACACCCAGCTTGTTCATGCTTACTGCTGTACTCTATCAAGAAAATTAAAAGTACTCCACATTCAGTTTAGACTGTTACTATTCTTAGCCAGGCCTGATGGCATATCCCATATTCCTAGCACTTTGGGAGGTTGAGACAGGAGGATTATAATTTCCAGCCCAGGCTAGGTAATTTAAAGCAACTTTTTGAGACCTTGGAATGAATCCCCAGTTCTGCCAAAACCAAATAAAAATTTAAATTTAAAATAAATAAATAGAGAAAAACATCACTGTTCTTCCATATTTTTAGTTTTTAGTTTTTTGTTTCATTAGTACACATTGGCAGTTCATGTGGTTTACAATCATCTCGGGGTTTACAGTATCATAGCTTTTTTTTTTTTTTTTTTTTTTT